GCGTCTGCGTGCATGCGCGTGTGCGTGTGCGTGCGTGTTTGTGTGTGCGTGTGCGTGTGCGTGTGCGTGTGCGTGTGCGTGTGCGTGTGCGTGTGTGTGGGCGTGTGCGTGTGCGTGTGCGTGTGCGTCCGAGTGTGTCACTGCGGGTGCGTGTGCGTGTGCGTGTGCGTGTGCGTGCGTGCGTATATTTTATATTTGCAGTGCATATGTGTCTTACATAATGTCATAATTATAGCTACAGAAAGGCTATCTATATACTCGTAAGGCATATTAGAAGAAATATCATGAAAACAATTTATTAAAACTTCAAAACGAAGTGACGGATAATTCGTATCGTTATGCAGTAATCTATGGGCGCCAGTGACGCGATCGTGCGCGGTTTACGATGTTTCTGACAACGGGCCCCTGGTCATTATATAATATATAGCAGATTATATGGTCAATACGTGACGTTTACCTTGTATACAGGCGAATGCGAGCGACTTCATCAGCACACAGTCGTGACATGATCGATCATCGTAGAATGGTTCCAAAATGCATGATATGATGAGCGACCGCCGCAGGACACACGGGGGAGCGAGACGAGATGTGGGGGGGGCGAGTCAACCCCGGGCGGTGGTTATATACGTCGACTGCCGTCGTCTTCTCAGACGTCTAGGGACGGTCGGTCGACCGGAAACACACCTATTTTTTGGTTTGGCTTTACCCATTCCCGATACCGTAAATCTAAGACATTGAACACCACAGTGGATTTATTTTGCAGCTCGCTGAGTCACCTACTACACCATAGAAACATATAAAGACTCTGTCTGGTACAGTTCAGTCTTCATTATACGACGATCATTATGCAACTACAGCATCTATACAGCACCTATAGGTGGTCGAGTAATCGAAAATGTCGGATAGTGCGAAGACGGGAGTGTGGTGAAACAAATCGAAGATAAAATCGAAGTGCAGTATAAATATTAGATTTTGTTTAATAATAACCACTCTACTGTATAAACAAAATGAAGAGAGCTATTAATTGTTATTTATAAGTGGTTGAAGTTTGTTTCGGCAGCTTTCTCCTAACAGTACCACACTGTAGAACACATATATCCCGCATATTGACTATATGTCGGATAAAGCGGAATGTCGGATAAAGCGGAATGTCGGATAACTGATTTTCTCTAAATTTCCGAATTTCATTGAACCGCACGGTGCTAGGTCGTATCGTGATGGCGAAAGCAAAAGACTTACTGATCAAGCAGTCGCGCAAAGTAATATATGAGATCCGCAGTAAGGCATGTCACTGTTGATACAAATGCCGCTGTATAGTATTGCTTATAATAATAATCCAAACTCCTGTCCTGAACTGCGCAAAGATCAAATTGCACATAGCCTTCGCCTCTTTCTGGTGTAGACCGTAATGCATGTTACCATAAACTGGCCTCAACTTGGTAATAATTCTTCATTTCGTTTCAAGAGTATGCGCATCACATTGGAGATTTCGCGCGGTGTGTCTTCTGGGTATCCTACCCTCTCTCTGTGTGTATGGGTGTCAAATGATGATTTCATTGTTGTCAGCGGGATGTAATTTATCAAGGGTACACGTTACAACACGACGTGATGTAAACCAGTTTTGGACTCTCTTCCCCGCAGATGAGTCACCGTACATAAGGGTTGCACTCGACCGCAGTCTGTTTCAGGTAAACGTGTAAACGCGCTCTCCTTCGTATTAGATGTATCATAGCGCAGAAACCGTCCTGCGATAACAACGTAACGAATAT